AAAGTCCTCCAAGACGGAGAAGGGAGCACGTTGACACGTCATGGAGTTGTTAACCAATGTCATAAAACAATATGTGTACTGACTGTTTAATGAGAAAATATTTGTTCTGTAAACCTTCACCTAAAGTACAATAAAAAAAAAATTAAAAAAAAAAAGTACTGACCAATGTGTAACAGGTGAAAGCACTGGGTTTTTTCCAGTGACCTTGATGCACGGAGTCCGTCTTGGAACCCCAGGCTCAGGGGCAGGTGCTGCCAATGTGAGGGGTATGGGGACCCAGTTAGTGGTGGGTTCAAATCTCAGTTCTGCTAGGGGAGCAGCCATGTCCTGCCTGCCCTCACATGGCCACTCTGGGGCAGGTGGTCAGTCCCTCACTCCCTGATGGCCCAATAAAATGGCCATACTGTTCAGATATGAAAGCACAGGTGTCAGTCACTCTGTGGTCAGTAATCCCCTGCCCTAGTGGGGTCACCGTGAACATGTGCAAATTTGTTGCTGAACCGTGTACGGAGCATCATATGTGCCCTCTACTTTTAAAACATGCATTAATGAACTATATATGTGTTTTACTGGAACATCTCTATTTAAATTAAGATTTCACACTTTTCTTATGGCAACTGTGTACAGCAGAATCCTCCTGTGCTGACTACTCCAGCAACTACAGAACACGAGCTGGCTTTGGAACACGTGCTATCGTGCATGTTGGAGGAGTTGGTATAGCCCATCTTAGTTGTACCCTCTGGAGTCCCTGGGTGGTACAAATGGCTAATGCACTTGGCTATTAACCAAAAGGTTAGAGGTTCAAGTCCACCCAGAGGCACCTTGGAAGAAAGGCCTGACAATCTACTTCTGAAAAATCAATCACTGAAAACCCTACGGAGCATAGTTCTACTCTGAGACACATGGGATCGCCATGAGTTGGGAGTCAACTCAGTGGCAGTTGGTTTTTTTTTTTAAATTATAGCCTCTGGAACCATAGGACTTACCTGGCCAGGAAGTGGAGTTCTGGGGCTCGTCAGTGCCATAGGTTGCGCTTGGGGGTTTGCCATCCCCTCCACAAAGCAGAGGTTGATGGCCATGGCCCTGTGTCTCCAGGCCGGGGTCTCCCTTCATGCCCCCTCTTTCCCAGGTCCCAGACCTTCAGCCTGAGCCACCCCCAGAGCTGCAGAGGTGACCCAGCTCCCCGTTGTCCCTGGGTTTTCTCCCTGCTTTTCCTGGGGTGGGGATGATCCCCACCTGACTTGCCATTCCCCACCCTCCCACCCCCAGGTCTGCTCACCTCCGCAGTAGGAGCTGCTCTGGCCCGGTCACCATGTGTCTCCGCTGACCTGCTGCCCGCTGCCAGCTCTGGAACATGGCCCTCTGTAGGCCCTGGAGGTGAACCTGGGCCCATGCCTCGTACTTTTCCTGCAGGATCTGCTGCCCTGTGGCCAGAGAGACACTGGAGTGCCACTGAGTACTCCACTCCGGCCCCTGTTCACCCATTCCTTTGGCCTCTATCCAAGTGGGAACAGAGAAGGCCACCCTAACTGTCCAAGGTAAGATGCTTCCATTACAGGTGTATTACTGGTGACCAGGCCAATCCAGCTCGTGTTGCTGTTAGCTGCCGTTGAGTTGATTCCAACTCATGGTGACCACATGGGTGCAGAGTGGAACTGCTCCATAGGGTTTTTATGGCTGTGACCTTTTGGAAGCAGATCGCCAAGTCTTTCTTCTGAGGTGCTGCTGGCTGGGTTCAAACTGCCAATCTTTCGGCTAGTAGTCAAGTGCTTAACCATTTATCCCACCCAGGGACTCCAATCTAGAGTTTTTGTTTGTTTAAATTTCTTGATGATTGTCTTAGTTATCTAGCGCTGCTATAACAGAAATACCACAAGTGGAGGGCTTCAACAAACAGAAATTTATTCTCTCACAGTCTAGTAGGCTAGAAGTCCATCAGCTCCAGGGGAAGGCTTTCTCTCTGTCGGCTCTGGGGGGAAGGTCCTTGTCATCAATCTTCCCTTTGTCTAGGAGCTTCTCTGTGCTAGAACCCCAGGTCTAAAGGACACTCTCTGCTTCCGGTGCTGCTTTCTTGGTGGTATGAGGTCCCCCTGTCTATCTGCTCGCTTCTCTCTTTTATATCTCAAAAGAGATTGGCTTAAGGCACAATCTAATCTGGTAGATCTCATCAATATAACTACCACTAATCCATCTCATTATATCATAGTGATAGGATTTATAACACATAGGGAAATGATGTCAGATGACAAAATGGTAGACAATCATACAATACAGGGAATCATGACCTAGCTAAGTTGACAGATACTTTTGGGGGACACAATTCAATCCATGACAATGATGTTTAGGAATCAGGAGAATTCATATAAAAATCTAGATTTCCAGCTTTTCTTTAAAAACTAGAAGATTTGGCAACACTGGGCCAGCATTCCTCCTGGACAACAACTGGGCTAGAGAAGTGGCTGTACTGGTGGACATGACAGGAGCTTTCTAGAATAACCAAGTCTTCACTTGCCAGCCCATTGACACCATGTATCGGTGCAGCAGGCAGCTTCTAACACAGCCCCTAATGCCCCCCACATCCTGTGTCCATGCTCTTGTATAATGCCCTCCCCTTGAGTGAGGGCTGCACTTACTGACTTGCTTCTAACAAACACAATATGGCAGAAGCTATGGAATGTCAGTTCTGAGATTAGGTTATAGAAAGACTGGCTCCGGCTTGGGTGCATTCTCTTGCTTTCTATTAGATCTTTCCCCTGGGAGAAACCAGCTGCCAGGTCATGAGGAAGCCCTGTGGAGGCCCATGTGGCAAGGGACAAGGCCTGCCAACCTTGGAAGTGGAAGTTCCCCTACCCTCATCCTGCTGAGCCTTCGGATGAGACTGCAGCCCTGTGGTGGACTTGACTGCATCCTCATGGCATATCCTGAGCCAGAAGCACCAAGCTAAGCCACACCTGGATTTCTGACCCACAGAAACTGTGAGATAATAAATGTTTGTGGTTTTAAGCCATTACATTTGGGGGTAATCTGTTATGCAGTGACAGATAACTAATACAATTGACCAGAGCAGTCCCTCAGGTTGTTCCCGATTTAGCTGAATTCAAACTGAAGTGCAAAGAAAACAGCTTTCCTTTTGCCCAGAGTCCAGTACCTGCAAAGCAAGGCTGTCTGGGAGCCAGCCCTCCTCTCATCCTTGGCCACGTTTCTCTGGCTTGTCCAACAAGCTCCAGCCCAGGCAGCTCAGCACACCTAGTCCTTCCCATCTCCCCCATCCGGGCTGGAGCCATTCCCACTGCCTCAACTTCTCTTTCCACTGTTCTGCCCACTAAGCTGTCCTCCTCACCTCCTCCTGGGGGACCCTCCCTGACTAAGTTGGCTGGACTCTGCCCACCCCTCCCTCCAACTGAGATCTCAGACCAGTGATTTCTGAGGGCCAGGCAAGGACGACGAGGATGAAGATGCTGCTGGTGGTAGTGATGATAACACTCAGATGTTATCTGAGCCAAGCACTTTACATGGATTGTCTCGTAGAATCCTCACAACCACCCTATGATGTGGGTACTACTACTATCCCCATTTTACAGATGAGTAAGCTGAGATGTGGAAGGGTGAAGTAGCTTGTTTAAGTTCCACACAGCCAGAGAGTGGAAGAGCAGGGACTCGAGCCTATACCTTCAAGTCTGGCTCTGCCACCCATCCTGGATGTATCCTGTGGGAGTCCTATCACTGGACGCTGGGCTGGAGGACATGGAACCCTGGGTGTCCCTGATGGACCCTGGCCTTTCCCTCACTGGCAGTACCCCTGACCAGTCCCTGACTCACTCTGCCAGCAGGAGTGCCAGCGGCGCAGGGCGTCTTGTGCCAGTCTCCGGCCCCGCTGCTGGGCCCACTGCTCTGCTGCCCGCCACTGCGCCAGCTGCTGCCGCCACAGGCCCAGTGCCGCCTTGCAGCTCTGGGCCCAGGCCCAGTGGGCTGCCAGCTCTCTCCGAGCCCCTTGGGCCGTCGTCCAGTGGCTCCAGCTGAGGAGGACACTGGGGAAGGGAGTGTCCACCCTGAGGATGGTCACGGCCACCCTGGCAGCCCTGGCCACCCTGGCAGCCCCAGCCCCCCTGCCTCCTCCCCAGCACAGGGAGGGGCTTGGGGTGACTCTTCTCCCTGTTACCATTATGGGGGAGGGTGGCTGCTGGGGGCTGGAGGGATCAAATGCTTCTCTGAGGGTCACAATGACAAGTGGTGGGAATAGGATGGGACCCCAGGCCCCCAGTGCCAAGTCCTGTGCTCAGCCACTAGCAATAATAACTACTCTGGACTGACAACTTACTATGTGCCAGGCTCTATGCTCAGGGATGCATGTGCACCTACCTCAATAATGCTCCACTGGAGTGAGTACTATCTTTATCCCATTTTACAGATGAGGCAATAGAGGCAGAGAGAGGTTAGGAACAGCCAGTATGAGCAAAGCTGGGATTAGAGCCCAGGTAGACCGACTGTTAAACACTGTGCTATGAATGAATAAATGAACAAACCACAGCCGGGGAATCTCCAACAGAAGTGACTACCCCACAGAGTGTGCCCCGCCCCCACCTCAGTAGGCAGGGTAGGAGGGCGGGCAGAGTTCAGAGGAGCTGAGTCTAGGGGCTGAGCTTGGCTGGGCATGAGGGGGCCTCCTAGGATGCAGGCTCCAAGTGGATGCTGCTGTGAAGGTTAAGGGCAGATGGAGAGAAAGGGCCAGGAAAGCCACAGTAAACCCACAGTGGTGGTCAGCTAGGCTGGCCCTTCCAGAGAAGAGGTCCCTACCGCCTCTGGAGGGTGCGCTGGTACTGGCTCGCCACGGCCCGGGCCTGCCGGGCCCGCGCCTGCCACAACAGAAGGCTCTGCTCCTGCCGCCGCTGCCTAGTTGCTCGCAGAAAGGTCGCCCTGAGGGTCTCCAGAAGGGCAGGGTCCCTGGGAGGCTGGGGAGGAGGAGTGGAGTCCTGGAACCCCATCCCCACCTCATCTTCTCCACCTGCCTGCTCCCCACCTGCACAGCCCACCCCACCCCCAAGCCCCTCACCCTCTCCAGGGAGCCGCAGGGTGTGCTGCAGCCCAGTGAGGCCTCCCCTCCCGGGCCGCTGCCCGGTGACTCCAGGGCCGAGGTGGTCCTGGTGCTGCTGGACGGGGTGCAGAGACCCCAGGCCCTCGAGCGCCATTGGCACAGGACATGCTGCAGGGTCCGCTGCTGCAGGCCCTGAAGGAAGAAGCTGTAGGAAGGGGCAGGTGAGTGGGCCCCAGCCTCGCCCCCTGGCTGGGGGTAGGGGCTGCCAAGGAGGAGTACTCCCACCCTGCCCCATAAGAAAGCCCAGCTGGAAGGGTGCTCGCCATGTACACTGTGCACTGACTCCCAAACTGGCCACTCACTGGAATCACTGGGAGCTTCAAGAAATAACTGATGTCCACTCGGCCCCACCCGCAGGGATTCTGATTTGATGGGTCTGGGTGCGGCCTGGGCATGAGGATCTTTCTAGAGCTCCCCAGGTGACTCCAGTGAGCAGCCAAGGCTGATCCTCCGCTGATCCTCGCTATTCTCTGGGGTAGAGGTGGGGACCATGTAGGTGATCGGGAGGAGAACTAGGCCCCAGACCCAGGGATCCCCAACTCCACAGTCTACACACATAACCACACCAGTAATTTTGCCTCTGCTCCGTTATAAAGACAAGGAAACTGAGGCCTGGGGAGGGCCATTTCCTCAAACTCCCACCATGACCTAGCAGCAGACCTGGGACCGAAAAACACTCATCTCAGGCCAGCAAGGCAGCCCGAGTATGCCCAATGCCCAAAGCCAAAGGATGGACTAAGCACCTGCATTCTGAAGGCTCATAATGAACTGAGTTCCTCTAGGAGCCCAGGGGTACACTGAGAGAGACTGAGGGTCCAAGTAGACCAAGTAGGTATGGGGATGGTGGATGCCAGGTGTGTGGCTTTCAAGGACAAACTGCTGGCTTATGTTCCTCCTGGCATTCCATCAGGGAAGTGCCTCTCACCTTACCCACAACCACCAGCCTGAGGTCAGGGTCTCAGCAATTGCCCTTTTGTATCTAGGCAGCTCCATGGTCTCGCCACAGGGCCCCTTCATGCTCCTGATTCACAATGGGATTTACAGCAAACTGTTCAACCCCTCTGAACCCCAGTTTCTCTAATATTTGTATAATGAGGCAGGTAGGGGTATGAGCTCTGCCCATGGTTCCTTCACTCCTTCATTTGCACTACCTATCCCAGGCCTGCAGCATGCTGGGCACCCGCTGGACGCTGGCGAGCCAGTGGTGAGCAAACAGACAGGGCTCCTACCACCAGGGAGCTCTGTTTAGGTGGGGGCGATGGGCAGGCGCTTTTCCAGATTCTGGGGAGGGGAAGCCTCCTCGTCAGGTCCCAGTCCCCTTGGCAGAGCTCCATGCCTGTGTCCCCGTAGTCCCACAGCCCCACAGCCCTCAGTGGCCCTCTGCCCAGTCACTGTCTCAGTGTCTCCAGGCCACTCCCTGGGCCCTGTGTCCCTGCCAGGCCCATGCTGGGAACATGGGGAGGAGCAGGATGTGGCCTGTGCCCTCCGGGGCATTCCTCCCAGTGCTGAGCACTGCTCACGTCCCCACCCCATACCCGAGGCCCAAGCCCAGGTCCCAAGCTCTCAGATACCTACTTGGCCTGCCGGCGCTGAGAGAGCTGCATCCTCCAGAGCAGCAGCACCCGGTGGAGGGCCAACCTCCGGCAGGCTTCCTGCAGGGAGCCCTGACCTTGTTCCAGGAGCAGCCCCGGGGCCTGGGCCACTGCCCCAGGGCCCTGGGCTGTGGCCGCTTCAGGGGCTGGGCTGCGAAGGGCTGTGGTCCCTGAGAAGTAGGCAGAGATGAACCAGTCACACTCCTGCTGACCTCCCTCTGCCCAAAGCTCTTGGTAGCTACTGCCTCAGGCCCGCTTGGGACCTCTCCCTCTCATGGGGAAGATGATCCTATCTTCCCCCCTCAGGTTTTTCTTTTTTTTTTTTTTTTTGAGGCGGGGGGATGTTTCCCAGGAGCAGGGGCTGCTTCCCCTCCCACAGACCAGGAACTTCCTGTGAGCAGAGACCAAATCCCTTCTGGGTCGGGTGTGGGATAACCCAGCACTAAGCTGGGCCTCAGCAAGTCTGTGGTGGGAGAAGATGGAACTGTGTCTCTCTGGCCTAGAAGAGGTCACGATGGGGGTGAGGAGGCAGCTTAGCACCCCGAGAACTCCCTCCTCTACCACTTTCCATCACAAGAATCCATAAATCCAATGGGGCCCACTGAAGAAGGTGCTTAGCTGCCACCGTTCGCTGGGGTGGGGGGCATGGGCAGGGAGGGAAAGGGGACTCCATTTCAGCCCGTCTCCTCATCCCGCCACTCACTCACCCGCCTTCTGCCGGCAGAGGGACAGCTGGGTCACCTTCACCCCATCTGAGGCCCGGAGCTGCTTCATCTGTACCCACTGTCGCAGGCATGTGCTCAGGGTCCCCACCCGGCGGTCAGCCAGGTGATCCCGGCACCGGGCTCCTCTTTGTGCAAACCGCTGCCAGGCCCCAAAGCACCTGAGAGAGCCAAGGGAAAGTGGTGGTGCTAATCTTAATGACCACAGGGACAGCGCCTGTTACTTACCAGACACTGCTGAGGGATTGGGCAAGCCACTTCACCTTTCTGAGCCTCAGTCTCCTGATCTGTGAAATGGGGCTGCTGTAAGGACAGCATGGCATGCCCCTGCCAGGCTATGACAACATCATCTCTGGGTGCTGGGGTGGCTGCAGCAGCCTCCTACCTGGTTTCCCTGCACCCAGTCTTGTCCTGTTGCAGTCAGCTTCCACTTGGTAGCCAGAGTGATTTTTTTTTTCAAATCTCAAGCCAAATTATCTTACTCTCCTGCTAAAATCCTCCAGGGGCAACCCACCATGCTCTGTGATAAAACTTCAACTCCTCCCACAGCCTACCTGGCCATCCATACCTTTCCAACCTTATCCCCAACCACTCCCTGCCTACTAGCAAGTCTCCAACTTGACTCTTTGCTGTTGCATTTCCTGTGCTCCTCTGCCTCAGGGCCTTTGCACATGCTGTTCCCTCTAACTGGCACACTCTTCCCCACGCTCCTTCCACTAGTCAACTGTCTACCCTTCAGCTCTCCACTAAGCCTGTGGTCTAGGTCAGCTTTCTTTGTTATAAGTTCTCAGGGAAAACCACACCCCGGGAACAAAATCAGTAAAATGCAGCCAGTGAGCAACTCTACCAGACAAGCCGCCTAGTTTCTTCAACAAATAAATTGCAAGGGGAAAAAAAATGGGGGAAGCCCATATATTAAACAGACTTTAGTGACATATCAACCAATCACAATGTGTTAACCTTATTTAGATCTCAATTCAAACAAGCTACGACAAAATTTGTATTTGCGGAACTGGAAATTTTAATGCTGTTGTTTGCTGCCAACGTGTCAGCCCCCAACTCACAGCGATCTCGTGTGTTAGAGAGTAGAACTGCTCCACAGGGTTTTATTGGCTGTACTGTAATCTTTATGGAAGCAGATAGCCAGGCCTTTCTTCCATGGTGCCGCAGGGTGGGTTTGAACCACCCACCTTTAGATTAATAGCCAACCACAAACACTTGCACCACCCAGGCTGGTTGGAAATCTGAATACAGACCAGGTATTTGTTGATATTAAAGAATACTGTTTAGTTTCTTAGGTGTGATAATAGGATTGTGGTTATATTCTTTAAGAATCCTTATCTTTTAGAGATACGTACAGAAATATTTACAGATAAAATGACGTAATGTCTGGGATTTGCTTCAAAGTAATGAGGGAGGGGGGAAGTAGTTGGGGTACAGATGAAACATTCTTAGGAGGTGATTTTGTTGAAGCTAGTGATGGGTACCTGGGGGTTTATGACCCTATTCTTTCTACTTTTGTGTAAGATGAAAATAGCCCGTAATAAAAAGTTAACAACAAGGAAAAAAACTCCTATACACCTGTGTCCATTCCTGTCACAACACATAACTCAGGCAGTATTCACACACTTACTTTGTGACTGCTGATTTCCTGTCTGCTCTCCTTCCTGGTCCAGGTTCCACGGGTTCTATGAGGGCCCAGGACTGGGACCAAGCTTCGCTTAACCAAGTCCCAGCCCCTGGGGTGGTGTCTAGCAAGTCTTGTGTTAGGTTGTTAGGTGCCATCAAGTTGATTTTGATTCATAATGACCCCATGTGACAGAGTAGAACTGCCCCACTGGGTTTTCTTGGCTGTAATCTTTAAGGAAGCAAGTTGCCAGGTCTTTCTCCCACGGAGCTACTGAGTGGGTTCGAACTGCCAATCTTTCAGTTAGCAGCTGAGCACTTAACCGTCTGCGCCACCAGGATGTCTAGGCGTTCAGTAAACAGCAGCTATATTCACTGGTTGCTTCCATCCTTGTCTCTCAATACCAGGAGTCATCAAGAGCTTGACTTAAAGGGCACCTCCCCACTGGGTCCCATATGCTGCCTCAGGGAGGAGGCCCCCACTGCCAGCACCACCCACACCCTCCATGTTCCCCTACCTGCAGAGCCAGGCTCTCTGGCACTGGGTCTCCAGTGGCACCACCCTGACTGGGGCTGCAACATGAGCATGCCTGGCCTTGGGAGGCCGCACTGCCCTCTGAGTCCTTGGTGGGGCCTGGGCAGCTTCTCTTTGGATTCCCCTCTCCTGCCTGGCCAGCCCCTTCTGATGGCACCACAGGAGCAAGACTGCAAGGGATTGGGGCAAGAGAGAAAAGAGAGGGAGTGAGCTGAGGGGAGGATCAGGAGGAGCCACTGACACTTGGCACACCAAGCTGTGTGCTCCCTGTCTCTGGGCCTCAGTTTCCCCACGAATGAGTGATGCCTAGTTTTAACGCTCAAATTTCTGCCTGAGCCTTTATCAGCACAGCCCCTCGTACTGTGCGTCCTTGAGCTGTTCATTTAACTTCTCTGTGCCTCAGTTCCCCATCAGTAAAATGGGCATGCTGCCTTGCCAAGGTCACTGGGAGGCTCAAGTGGGATTTTATCTGGGAAGGTGCCAGAGTAAAGCTCAAAAAACACTGGTTCACTCAGGACCCACTGCCGTGCTTGATGGGGGGCTCAGACCCTGTCTGTCCTGGCTCCATCTCCTCCCCAGCCCATTTTCCCCACCATCTCACCAGCCAGTCGTTGCAGGGCCTGCAGGATCTGGATTCTCGTGTCTCTGCCATCTGGTCTCAGCCCAGGATGCGAAGGAATCGGCCGGCCTCCCTCCTCCTTCTTCAGGCTACCTGGACTGACAGTAAAGCTGCCAGGCCTAGGAAGGGCACACGGTCCCAACCTGCTCACCGCAGCCCGAGGCCGGTGCTGGGAGCAGGGGCTACAGAGCTACCCTGCTCTCTTCCAGACACTTCATTTCATTCCTGATTATAAAAGCCATGGGGGGAGGGGGAGAGGGTCTGCCTTTGCTTTATTCTCTTCAATGCTGTTTACATTTTTTACAAGAAACATGCAGTAAGATGAATATTATTAAATAATTATTTTAAAATACATTTAATTTAAAAATAAGAAAATGACACACTGCTGTAGCAGAAAAACTGGGGAAATGAAAAATAACAACCAACTTAAATTCCACCACTCCAGAGATAAGCACTGTGCTAATTTTGGCTTTTTATTTACTTATTTTATTTTTTCCCTTCTGGTCCTTTGGTCCTTTTTCGACTCCATGGCAACGGGTTTGGGTTTTTTTTTTTTGGTCCTTTTTCAATGCACTATTTCACGTGGTTGAAAAAAACATTTAGTACTATTTTTTATCCTCCTTTAAAAAATTTAACATTAGCAATGATCAATTTTTCTTGTCATTAAAAACTATGCAAATACCCATAAAAATACCTCCGAAAAAGGGGATATGTAGGGTGTAAAACTTCCAAGTTAATTTATGTACTTCCAACTCTTTTTAATTTTTGTTTTTCCAAACCAAGCACACACTGCTGTTGTGACTGGCAGTAAAACCAATAAAGACATTGAAAAGAAAAAAAAGAATGGGGAGGAATATTTTTAAGTCCTCATAAACATCATACTGAACGGCAGCCAAAAGGTTTATCACATGGTCAAACTTTTTATCTACTCACTGTTGGGCATTTAGTTTGTTTCTAAGTTTTTAAAATGATAACGCCATGATAGACATTTTTTTGCATAAATCTATGCCCACATCTGCTCACTGCCTCCTCATTCTAGTGGTGGTGGGGGGGCGACAGTGAGGCAGGAATCGGGAGAGAAGGCCACCAGCACTGCTCGGGCCACCCTGGGTGCCCCAGCCCACCTGCTGCTCGAGGCAAGGTCCACAGCTGCTTTTCTTCCTGAGGGGCCTTGGCCCCAGCCTCCCCCAGAGGCGGGGGACTCTGGCACAGCTTGGATGTGGGGCCGCTTCTGCTTCTGTTGTGCGGCCAGCTCTCTCCACTGGGTCAGGGAAGAAGGGGGAGAGGGAGGTCGGCTGCAGCCTCATTATGTGGCCCCAGAGTAGGCACAAGAAAGGGGCAAGGGAAGGACCCAAACATTTCTGCTGGACTCCAAAGCCTATTATCTTAACCATTAGACTATCCTGAGACTATCGTGTCTCCTTGGGGGTGAATGAATGAATGGAGACATGGAGCCTGAGAGGCAGGGCTTTCATTGGGAGACAGAACCTAGGGCTGGGCCCTCCGGAGCACCCCCTTCCCAAGGAGGGAAAAATATGGACGTGCCCTCCGCCTGGTTGGCAAAAACAGTAATTTAATACGGGCAGTCCCTGGGTTATGAATGTTTGACTTACTTACTACCTGTAGTTACGAATCAACCCTCATAAATTTGAGGTCACTATGAGTCAGAATCGACTTGGCAGTGGGTTGGTACATACAATGGTTCGTAACAACAAACAGACAATACTTTGCTACACACATCAAAGCACTACTATTATTATTATTGTATTAATATGTAAAAGATGTTTTAGTGTATCTGGAAGTGTTTCTTTAATGTTTTTTATGCATAGAAAGACTATATACCATATACTACCACAAACACTTGACTAACTAATGTTAGATATGAATTGTACCTAACTGTTCCAACTTACGTACAAATTCGACTTAAAGACAGATTTAGGAATGGAACTGGTTCATAATCCGGAGACTGCCTGTAAAGGCAAATGCTTGTATGGTAGGTGCTTGCTACGTTTTTTAGCCTCACAACAACCCTATGGTGTATATACCATTATTATCCCATTTTAGAGTTAAGGAGACTGAGGCACAGAGAGGTTAAGTAACTTGCCCAAGGTCACACAGCTAGGGAGTGGCAGAGGCAGGATTTTAACTCAGGGCAGAGCTGGTTTAGGCGTCTGGGCTCCTAACCATTGTGCAATACAGCCAGTCACTCATGACGTGTAATCTGTGCCCTCTCAGGAGATGGAGCCTCCTCACCAGACAGACGAGTGCTTTATCACCTCCCCCTGGCCCAACCTGGAGGCCCCTGACCTCTCGGAAGCTCCGGGCCAGCAGGGTCTTCATGTGCCGCCCTGAGGCCACCTCGAGCCACGCCTCCTGGAGGTGCAGAGCCCACCGTAGCGCCCGCAGGCCTTTTCGCAACAGCTGTCGGCGGCACAGCGCCTCTGCCGCCGCCACTGCCCGCGGCTTCTGCACCAAGTGCCGCCAGGCTCTGAAACATCTGGGCAGCAGCTGCCAGCTGGGAACAATGAGGGTTGGTTGGGGGGCGGCGATCCTGGTACCCTACCCCAAGGAGCAGCTTGGGGCACCACCCACATTGCCTTTCCAGCGTCTAGTGATGCCCCCATGCTGCAGCAGGAAGGACAAGTTGCAGACTTGAAGAACTTCACTCTTATTCATGGCTAGTCTTAGAAATATCAGACAAGAAAGCCCTTGGAGGCAGGAGGATGCCCCATTTGACTGCCAAGAGTCCAGGGCAGCCTAAGAAGTTTAAGATTCCCAGTGTCCCACACCCAGAAGCAGTGGTCCCCATGTCTTTGTCCTTGGGGCCCAAGGGGCTCCCCTCATCCCAGCAAGGATAGTGTGGAAGAAGGAAGCCTAGTTCCCTCCCCTTTAGGCCTTATCTCAGCTCAGACCTAGTCTCCAGCCCCAGGCAAAGAGGAGAGGAGCTGTCCCCTATCCCCCTGCCCCTGCAGCCCATGGCCTCACCAGGCTGTCTTGGTCTCCAGGGTCACAATGTTTGGGGCCTTGTTCTGGGAACAAGAAGACACAACATAGTTATCAGGCCAGGAACAGGCAGGACAGGACACTCCCTGCCAAGCCTGCTTACTCAAAGCCTCCCTTTCTGGGGGAGGGTGTGGGACAGGGTAGTGACAGTTACTTGGACAATCCCTGGGAGGAGGCAGCCTGGCCCCAGGAGCCCCCGCCCCAGGCTCTACCTGCAGGGCACTCCTCGCTGAGATGGTGTCCGGTGGATGGGAGGAAGCCGTCCTCTCCTCCTCCCAGCGGACCTGCTCCCTCGGGGCCCCCTCCCCTCCTTCTTGCCCAGGCAGGACTCCCCAGGCTACACTGGAGAAGGTGGAAGAACAGAGCCTGGCCTCCCTGTTGCCTGCCCCTTGAGGGAGACTGGGGCTCCCCCTCTGCCCCCCACCATATGCAGGCCCTGGAGAGCAGTTCCCTCTTCCACTTAGTGGGTGGGCAGGAAGAACCCCTTGCTCAGGATCAAGGGGATCCCTTGTCAGCATCCCAAAAGTGGTCTTTGCTGACACTGGCTGGCTGTTTGCCTGAGAGTCTGAGAGACCGGCCTGCGCTCCTTGTGTCTTTTCCCTGAGACTTCTGGGGCATCTGTGTCTCTCATCCCAGCAAGCAAGAGCAGGCTGGCTGGGCTGGTGGTGGGCAGGGACCGCCTGGCTACCACTGGCCCAGAGGTCCTGCCGCACAGGGCCCAGGGGTTCCTGGGATGCCCAGCACCTGACTCGGGATGCCTCATGCTCCAGGCATCTCACAGAGGCCAGCGACTGCTGGATGCCAGCATGGGATGGGGCCTGAGCCTGGCTCTGGGCAGGGACAGCCAGGTCCTCCAGGGTGAGCGGCTCACCCACAGGCCCGGAGGTCCATCGGCCCAGGGCAAACCAGGATCTGGTGCCGGGCTGAGGGCACCCATCTTGAGGGATGAAGCCTGCAAGGGGCCTGAAGTCTGGGCAGGGGGTGTCTGGGGCTCGTGGCTGGGACTGCCTTAGGCTGAGGGATGGGCAAGTCAGCTGCCCGCTGCAGCAGAGTGGACTTCCCCATGGCAGAGTGTGGGTACTGAAGCTTTCTTGAGGCTCTGACCAGAGCTGGGAGCTGGTGCGGTTTCCACGCACAACAAAGCTGGTCTTGCTTAGGCTCAGGTTGCTTTGCTGGATGGCAAAACTCTGGGCCCTCAAGTGAGGCCTCCCAGCCCGTGGCTGCAGGTTGCTCTGCTGCAGGAAGCTTGAGGTGGCCCTCCGGCCAATTGTGTCCTCCAGGGCAAGGCCTGGGCTGGGCCCAGGGCTGGCCAGGTTGGTCTGGACGAGGCAGGGCTCCTGGCGCAGCACTGTCCTTGGGGAGGGTGTGGCAGCAGGCCCTCCCCTCCTGGCCTGATGCACAGGCACCCGCTGGCCATGCCCACTGCCCAGGCCAACACCCAGGTTCTTCAGAAATCTCCACGGCTCTAAAGAGAGGAGAGACAGTCAGGCCCTGGGGGAGGACTCTAGAGGTCAGTGATCAGTGGGACAGATGAGGCTAGGCCAGGTATCAGAACTGAGGTGGGAGCCAGGACTTTTGTCTCCCTGGGTGGATGATGGGCAGCCCCCAGGGGTCCTGAGCAGAGGAGTGACATGGCTGCCTGGAGCGTGGGCTTGGGGGTGTACAGGGGCAGAGGGAAGCAGGAGGCAGTCAGGAGGCTGTTGCAGGGATTCCAGACAAGAGATAACATGGCTGGGACCAGGGGTGGCAATGTGGATAGAAAGAAGGAGATAAATTCAGATTTTCTGTGGAGTAGAGACGACAGGCTTGGAAAAAGGGGATGAAAACAAGAGAAGAATCAAGGATGATGCCTTGATTTCTGGCCTGAGCAACAGAGTGATGGGGAAGATGGGGGGCAGCCAACTGGGATGAAAGCAAGACCACTACATGAGCTGCTGAAGGGGGCTGCTCTGGGTAAAGCAGGGATGGGACCTAGAGCCTCTCCCTCCCTGCGGGTCCCTCCAAGCCACTCTGCAACACAGCAGAGTCCTCATGGGGACTAACAGAGGCCTGGGAGCCTTAGAGCCCAGCAGGCAGAATGAGCACTAAAAGTCGCCACCTTTGGGGAATATAGCATCTAAGGTTCAGAGAGGTTAAGCAACTTGCCCTGTGGTCACACAGCCAGAACAGAGAAACTGGGATGTGAATCAGAATCAGAATTTGCTCTTGGGCTGCTCTCGCCCTGGCTGGGCCCGCTCCAAGTTCTTCTTGCAGCCCAGAGTGGCTAAGCAGGAAAGTCCGCAGACCATCACTCCTGGCATAGACTGACCTGTGGGACCGCTTCCCAGCCAAGGGTCTCCACCAGGCCCACTCTTGGACACCCCTTTCTGACCTCCCTCAGGCCCAAGCTAGGGAAGACTCTCTTCAGCCCAGCTGACCCTGATCAGATTATCTCTGGAATTAGCATCCCCTGGGCTGCCCTGCCTGGGTCTCTGGGCCAGTAACTTGAAGGCAGGGGTCCAGTGCTCCTGCCACCACTTCCCCAGGCCTGCTAAGCCTCTTGCCTGGCCTCAGGGGGGCCGCGGGCCTGGGGGGCACATTCTCCTTGTGGCTGGTATCCGGCCTCAGCTCCATGTGCTCTGGGGCAGAGCCGGGGCGGTGGTGGCAGCCTTGGTACAAGGCGTCGTCCTTGGCAGAGGTCTGGCCTGTGTGATCAGATGGGGCTCTGAGGGGTGAGGTTACACAGCCAGGCCAGATCACCCCCATCCTTGGCAGCACCCCTGGCTGCCCCTCAGGCCCAGCCCCAGCTGCCCTGGCCTGGACCCTCCCCGGTCAGAGTCTCCTGTGATCTCCTCTCCCTGCCCCACATACCTCTTCTTTGTAATTTCCTGGTGTCTGCCAGTGCCCACTCCATCTAGCACTGACTACAGATCCCCGGCACTCCCCTGTGGACCCTGCTTCCAGGCAGCGCTCCCAGGTGGGAACGCTTTGTCTCCCAGCCCTCGGACCACGGCCCAGAGGACGGCAGGGCCCTCTCTGCTGTTAAGTCCGTGTGTATCAGAGTAGAACTGTACTGCACAGGATTTTCAATGGCTGTGATCTTTTGGAAGTAGATCTTCAGGCCTTTCTTCTAAGGTCCCTCTGTGTGGACTTGAACCTCTAGTCTTTTGGCTAGCAGCTGAGTGTGTTAACCATTTGCACTACCCAGGGACTCCCTCCGCACATAAGTAGGTGCTTATTTCTCCCACCTTAAGGAAATACACACAAAACAACACCCCCCTTGACCCTCCAGGTCCCTGCCCCTTTCTCGCCTCTTATTACACCCAAATTCCAATTCCTCCCCCCACCCCATGACCCCACTTCAGTCCGGCTTCCCATCCCTACCCCCACCACCCTCCAGGGAGCCTCCCAGAGGCTGAGCTCCACGGGCAGGTCTCAGACCCCGGTTTTTCATGAGGCATCAGCAGCCCTGGGCACAGGTGGTCACTCTGTCCTCCTGGGAACCCTTGCTTCCCTGATTTCAGGATGTCCCTTCTCCCATTTCCCTGCCCTCTCCTTCCCAGTCTCCTCTGCTGGCTCCACGTCTCCCCAGTCAGGGCTCAGCCTTGGGTGACCCCCTTCACTGATACACTCACCCCAGATGATCTCAGCCAGGCTCACGGCTTCAGACATGTGTAATGCTGCCTTTTAATGGCATCTGAACATTAATATGGCCAAAACGGAACTCCTGCCTGTCCCCCCAAACCAGAGCTCTCCCATCTCGGCGTCCCCCCTTCTCCATGAACGGCAGCTCCATCCTTCTGGGGGCTCAGGTGGAAACCTTGGAGCCCCCCTGACACCTCTCTCTCACACCATAGTCAAGCCATCAGCTGATCCCATTGACTCTACCTTCCAACCCATTGCCATCGAGTTGATTCTGACTCATAGCAACCCTATAGGACAGAGTAGAACTGCCCCATAGGGTTTCCAAGGCTGTAATCTTTATGGAAGCAGACTGCCACATCTTTCTCCCACGGAACAGCTGATGGACCCCAACTGTCGACCTTTCAGTCAGCAGCCAAGCGTTTAACCACTGCACCACCGGGCTCCTTCTACCTTCCAAAGGTATTCATAACCCAACATTTCTCATCACCTCCATTCCACTCCCTAGGTCAGGTGACTGTCACTTCTTGCCTATATGTGGCAGTGGCCTCCTAACTTGTCTCCCTGCTTCTGCACTTTCCCCACCTCTGACAGTCTGTTTCGCACACCACAGCCAGGGTGATCCTATGAATACTCAGAACATGTTTCGCCTCAACTGAAAATCCCCAAAGGCTCCCCAATCCACTCAAAGCCCCTACGAAGGCCTTCAGGGGTTGGCAAATTATGGCTGGCCGGCAGCCCGTTCTGTAAATAAAGTTATACTAGAACACATCCATGCTACTTGTGTATTATCTATAGCTGCTTCTGCACTACAACAGCAGAGGTGAGTAGTTGCAGTAGACACTGGATGGCCCGCAAAGCCTAAAACATTTACTCTCTGGCCTTTAAGAAGAAGCTTGCCAACCTCTGCCCTATGTTATCTGGTCCCCAGCTGCCTCAACAACCTGATCCCCTACTCCTTGCCCCCTTGCTCACTCTGCTCCAAACCAGGGCTGCAAACTGGTTCTTCCTGGTTCAATCATGGCTAAGGAAGTGAAACCGGAACAGATCCTGAATTTTTAAAATTTGAGTGAACCGAGACAATAACCACAATGGGAAAAATTATTGGTCAGAGCCCTGCTAGAAATCTAGCTTCTCTTTGAAAACAAGGGCAGCATATGTGTTGCATAGCAACCAAATCTCTTGCCCATCAGATTTTCAGCAGAGTCAGAAAAAACGGTGCCCCACTCAAAGATGGCAGCTGACTGTGCTACTTAGAATGTGTGTCACTCTCCACAGTTCTGTCAATAATCCACATCTCGTCCATCAGGCTCCTGAAAGGGTTCACTATACCTCTTCTGAGTCTCCCATTCCAGGGCTTCAACTGGTAATTTTTCCCATGCTGGTTATTGTTCCAGATCACCCAAACTATAAAAATTTAGGTCTGTTCCGGTTTCGCTTCGTCGGCCATGAATGAACCAGTTCGAAGCCCTGCTCCAAACGCATCAGCCTCCTTGCTGCTCCTCGAAAACACTATGCATGCTGCTACCTCAGGGCCTTAGCACGTGCTGTTCTTGCTGCCTGAATACTCTCCCCCTTACTCCTTCACGTCCTGTCTCACATCACAGCGAACCCTTCCTGGACATTCTCTCTCCAACTGCAGCATCCTGCCCACACACTGCTCTTGGCCTAGTATTATTTTCCTCCATAGTACTTACCACCATCTAACAAACTGAATAAATTGCTGTTTGTTTTTCTCCCTCCAGTGGACTGAGAGCCACATGAGGGCAGGCCATTTTGTCTCTTTTTTCCCTGCTGTGTCTGCAGCACATTGAACAGTATTTGGCACATAAACCTGTTGCCACCGAGTCGATTCCGACTCATAGCAACCCTATTGGACAGAGCAGAACTGCCCCATAGGGTTTCCAAGGAGCACCTGGTGGATTCGAACTGCCGACCTTTTGGTTAGCAGCCGTAGCTCTTAACCACTACACCACCAAGGTTCCTGTTTGGCACATAGTAGAGCCTGACAAATGTATGTTAAATGAACAGCTGAACCAAGGTAAGCATCATGCAGCCTTTAGCCTGCATCCTGTTATTTAACCCAGCCCTAAGAATGAGTTTCCCTGTTTTAGATGAGGAAACCAGATCTTAGAAAGGCTGTCTGCCCAGCCCAAGATTCTATAACTGCATTGCGGCTGCAGAGGGTCAAACCCAGGGCTGACTCCACAGCGCATGCTCCTAACCAGGGCCATCCCTGACTCACCCCTTTCCAAACAATTCGAGGCAGCTCAAACCACAGCATCCCTTGCCTAGCACCCTGCCCCTCCACCCCCACCCCCACCCCCTACTACCCTGCCCTCCAGGACCAAGCTCTTCTGTCCATCTACCTTCTCCTCACCCCCTACCAGGGGCGGATTAACCAGTAAGCAAGGTATGCACCAGTAGTAAGAAAAATATGCACTGGCTTAATTGTGTTAACTTATTAATCCGTAGTGCACAATTTCACGTGGGTTTCATATCTTTGATGTGGCGGAAAACAGGTGAAATTGTGCACTACAGATTAGTAAATCAGCACAAGTAAGCCTGTGCATACCTAATTGAGTAATTCATCCCTGCCCCTCACCCTCTCTCTGCCCTCCTCTAGCCCCATCCCTGCACACTTAAGGGCACTCAGAGTCTCCCTCTTCTCCCGACCAAAAGTACTTGTGGTCAGTTTTCCTGTCCTCCTGGACCTGCCCTCACGAGCATCTGTCTTCCACGGGTCCTCCTTCACCCTGTTGGTTTGAACCTGGAGCCAACCTCAGGCAGGACGGTAACGACCCTGGCCGGTAGGTGGGGTGGGGGGGGGGAGCAGCAGTGTGGGTCCGACTCACGCGCGTGGCCGCCGGCGTTGGGTTGCGTGGCCGAAGGGCATAGCGCGGAGCTTCAGCGGCAGAGCCTGCGCAGTGCTCTTTCTCATGGGTGCCCATCCTGGCATCGCGGACCCTGCTGCAAATCACATGGCTCTGTGCAAACTTCTTGCCCTTGCAAAACGGGCAATACTCTTCCTCCGCCTTCAGATGCCTCAGAAATCTAGCCTAATCGACTCCTCTCTCTGCTGTGTGCTTGACTCAATCACAATTCCTCCGGACTCCAAAAGTTCCTGCATCTTCCCTTCCAAGTCTTTGCCCTGCTGTTCCCCATTGCGCATCTGCCCTGCCCTTTCCTTTCTTCGCCCAGTTTCCTTTCTCCTTTCTAAACTCTCGCTGGGGGAGGAAAAAGCACTGGGCTAGAAGTCAGAAGATCTGGGATCAAGATTTGTGACCTTAGGCAAGCTCCTAACCTCTTTGAACCTCAGGCTCCTCTTCTGTAAAAGGGGAATGGTAACCCCTGCTCTGCCTACCTCACTGTTTGATGTGAGGGTCAGATATTTAACAAATAATTGTCAGAGACTTAAACTCCAAAGCAATTCTTGAAGATGGGTGAGGTGGGAAGTTGTGGGATAGCAGCTGGGCGGAGCTAAGCCGCAATTTCCCCTCCTTCATGGCCCCAGTGCGACTGCGTCTACCCGATGACGTGCACATCATTACAGGAGCTGTCCACCAATCCTGATGGAGCATCCTCCTGAACACGCCCTGAAGAAGAACCTACCCCTGTTCTGTATCCTCCCCAAACGTAAACCCGTGTGCTTGCCGGTCAGAGAGTAGTCTTGGCGACACGGGTCCAGGTGAGCTTCTTTGCTTGACCAACGAAATAAAATGTTTCTTCTTTCGCTTTGGCTCGACTCATGTCTCAGTGTCTCCCCGAGCGAGACCTGGAGGTCTGGTAACATAATTTTGGCAAGCCAGCCAGGAGCTCCAGTGTTCTGGGCTTGTAGGTCGATCCTACAAGGACTTCAGCAGCCGGCAACAGATCTGCTTGTTCCGTCTGGGCCCCTCTTCAGACTCTGGGCAGATGTGCTCCTAACCCAACGGTGACTCCAGAAAGCGAGGGAAGAAATCAGCAATAATCAGGTAAGCACTATTTCTGGT